TATACCGGAAAACAGTATGTTTATTTTCTATAATTTTATATAAAAAAATTCAGAAATATAAAAAACGCATAAAAAAATTGTGAAAATTCCTTGAACCACGCCAACAGTTGGTAATTAACGGAGAGATTTTCAATAAAGAAAATTATTTGAGATTGATGCTTTCAATTATTATCTTGCTCTTAGGGAACCAAGTAGTTAATTTTATTTAACGAATAATCAACTCTTGAGAAAATGGTGCATGAATCTTAATTTTCTTTAGGTTACATAATTTACAAGCCTATAATATTGATTGGCCAAATTAGTACAATCAACTCCTGGCGAAAATGTTTTTATTGCCGAGCTGCATCAACAGTTTTTGTCGAATGTCCTAAAGAACAAAAAATATTTATCCCTTTAAATTGCAAGTTTTATTTGATAAATCCTCGTACACACATAGATAAAAGGCCTGTTATTTTACTACCCTAATGACTACTGCGGGAGTATGAGCCGATGATATTTAGAGTTATTAAATCTGTATAATTAAAGCTGCTTTATGAGGATGGTAGCTCAACTAAATTTCGAAAAAGGGCTTTTGTCTCCTAGGACAATAAAACTGAACGTCCAATTTCGAAATGCCGGTACCTACTCGTAAATTTGAATACATTTTTAGCGTTTATGAGAATTAATTTAAAACACTTTCAACTAATCTACTATGTAATTAGCCCCAAGAATTGATGCAATTAATAGTTCTAAATTTTTTTTTATACCGATTGTCAATAATAAGGTAAACCGATTTTATCTACTTCTACTCATACCTTTAGTAGAAGACTTCTACTCTTATCTAGATATTCTGTAAAAAAATATATTTTGTGTCTCTGATAAACAGGAACTGTTCCCAAAGATAAACACACTACCGCATTACATTAACTTAAATAAATACTTCTCAGAAACTAGTCTATATTAAAAATTGTTTTAAACACGGCATTAAAGATTTTTTAACGCCATCTAAAAACGAAATTAACACATGATTCTTTATTTGTTACTTCCACATATTACAATATTCTTAAAATATTGAATAAGTGCCTGTCCTTTCTGTCTGCATATTATTCGATATTTTTTGAACCATTAACAAGAAATCTCGATTTTTCAAACTACTGCTTTAAGTGATGTATTCGTCCTCCTAGACAATTAGCGATTCGGATCATATAGAAATATTTAATAAAAAAACGCCTATTTGTTCCAAACAAAGGAATACATATATTTTTTTGATGTTTAATTGATTGCAGTGGAAGACTACTTTAATATAATTAAATGGTTATTTACACATAATTATGATATTGAAATTAGGACGACTACTTAATATTGTAAATACCTCACTCCGCGGCAATAAAATTTACAACTTAACTTAAATGCATAGATATTTTCAAAACTGTGTAACTCTTACTGAAAATGATCAAAAACGAAATAAATCGTACTTTATTTTAATAAATAAATTCTGCAAGTTAGTTAAGTAGAAGAAGTTTTACAGTAGAATATCTAAGTATCTTCCAGAGTTATATTTTCAGCATTTCCGATCATTTCAGGTCGATCCAAAAAGACACACTCAACTTGTACGATCCCCGTCAAATGTCAGAAATGATTATTGTTCTCGTCCACCAGAGACCCATTCGGAGTCGACATTTATCTTTTACGGGAAATTTGGCAATTGGCCATGTGAAAAGTCGACGGGGTAAGTGAAAGTCAAATGTTAACGGCATTTGATCAGTAATGACCCAAAAAGAGCAGGTACTAAATTAATTCGAACATAAATTTTTAAAAGTTTTATCAAGAGTAGTGTACCAGAAACAATAAACGTATATTAAAATAGCGCGAATCATTAATCAAAGTATTCGTTTTTTAATTATTTCTATGTCAGATTGCACTATATTAAAAATTAAATGCATAGATACAAATTGAAGACCAATATCACCCTGTAAATCAGTTCACCCGGTGTTTTTATTGGGAACATACTTTACTCTTGCCTAAAAAATCATCATCACGGTCTATACGAAAAATATATACCTGCTTTAGATAACATATTTTATAAGTCGAATTATTCTGTGCTTCTTAGTTTACCAGACCATCATCAAATATATAATTTTTCTTTAAAAAAGACTGACAATTTGAAATCATATATGAGATTTCTAAGATATCAGCAGAACACAATAAGCTAACGGTCGTATGTCATAATGTAAAAAGACTTTGCATATACTGTGTTAATAAAAATTGACTAAAACTAATAATTATTGACAAACACTTCTTTCAATTCTGAAAAACAAAATGCATATTAGGACAGAGTATAAAACGTTTGCTATTTTGGAAACTTTTTAAATTGCGTTAGGATTTCAAAAGTTGCATAAATAGTGATAATAAATGGATTCGATAATATCGGATTAAAACGTTTCTCTCTTGCTGGAAAACACTACAAAAATGGCCTGAAAAATGTAGTAAATTAGATTTAACATTTTAGCGGTCGATCTGGATAGACAGTAGTATTCATACGCACACTTTTTAATTACTCTGATATGGTTAATAGGTGTGTGGCTAAATTCAGGCAATCGTTTCTTTAAGAAATTTAAATGGGTGAACATAAGCTAGATGAATTACCTACTGCTTATTTTGTTTATGAATAATAATGGAAAAGTTAGGGGCGACCGCTCAAAATCAACTGACAAAAAAATTTATCAACTTTCTCAATAGTTTTGTAAGAACTGATGCATCTAACATGCTTATTTTCATCAATGTTTGAAATTGCAGCTTTCTCTGTACACGCACTTTTATTTTTTTGCTAGGTTAAGTTGTTATGTCTGCATTTGTACTTTGCTTCCCTCTTCTACCCGACTTTCCCCTACTTTTTGTATTTAAATAAAATACTGCGATAATAAGTTGAAATGCAAACTATTGCAAAAAATCTTCAATTAAAGTGAATTCACTGCGAATCGAAGTCTTCCAAACAACGAGCGTTAATTTTTAATTTGAAGATGCATTTTTTATGGTTTGTGCAGAAAATAAACGGGACCACATTGGCGAGGAACAATATTGGGGCGATGGTTAATTGCGATCTGCTGTGACAGGTCTATATGTAGTAAAAGGGAACAGGGAGTCAGTCGTAAAGTGTTTATTTCGGTAGTAAACGATGTCAGTGGGATTGTATAACACTTGGGATCCAGCACCTGATGCTGGACCATAAAGCGTGTATGGCAAAAAAGATTCTGACTTATGCATGGTCTCTTAGATTTAATGGAGCTCGTAAAAACCGTGTTATTAAGCCCGAGTCGATAAAAACATGTGATGTCAACTATGGGTGGCTTCAAATTAGTTTCACAGTCTATGGATGCGGTTGAATTGTATTGTATAATCCTAAGTTCTAGGTGAAGATTAGCTGTTCTAGCTGAAGATTCTTATCTCCCGATTGGAAACATATTGGCTTTTAATTTTAATTATCCCAATCTTCCCGATTCTCCCACAAAAAGGCATCAGTCCTGACTTACTAAACATTGGCGCTAATGATGTTATCATATAAATTAGAGATCATCTATAATCTAAAAATTAGAATTGGAAGCTCCCGGTAGTATTAAAAATTTTAAATACTTTGTGTTTTTGTTCTTGAATTTGAACGAAAAAGATAATAAACAAATATAAACAACCACATTTTTGTAAAAAACTAAAAAAACGAACTAAACTTCTGTTAAAAAAGTATTTAAGTAAATTAAAAAAACTTGTAAATATTGAAAAAAATTAGGTTCCACCGAGATTTGAACTCGGATCGCTGGATTCAAAGTCCAGAGTGCTAACCATTACACCATGGAACCGACATAAAGAAATTGCTGGTAAAGTCGGTAATCAACAAATGGTAATTTTCTCATAAAAATTACCAAAGAATTGTAAAATATGTTCTTTATTTTGACAAATTACTCATTTATTAGCCATTAATGTTGTCGTTTGACTGACTGAATACAACAAATGACAGCGTTCACTAAAAAAATTTCACGAGTTGCATTGCATATTTTTAGAATGAACAGCTGAATCTTCATCTTCCAAAAAATGTGATTGAGCAACAGCAATAAGCCATAAAACATGATACAAATTTTAGAATATCAAATCGGTGAATATGAGGCCATGGTGCCTGATGAAGGAAATCTCCCTTTTCAGCGAAAACACTCTTCACCTCAATTGGATTTATGAGTAAAAAGTTGTTGCATCATCGGAACTCAAGGATCGAATTTCACAACAATGCAGGAGAATTTTTCTTTACATTTTGGTAAATGTAGCCGAGTTAGGAACAGTTAGGAAAAGTTAAATTATAAGTTGTTTTGGTGTATGGAGAGTTTATCAGTTACTGGAAACAAGATCGCGTAAATTCATTTTTATAAACATGAGTTGCGCTATTCCAAGAAAACAGAACTTTTGGTAGTGGAGTAACTAATTAGAACTACATTTCAAGTGATACATCAACAGTAGGGAAATTGTTTAGATAAATCGCAAAGAACTTCGAAAAAAGAAGAAAAAGCAATTGTGCTTAAAAGAAACTGTTTAGAAGAGAAACTAGAAAGAAAAACCCTGTAGAATATTAAAAGCAGGTAAAATAGCTGTTTTTAAGACAGAATAGAAAGGAAGGAATCAGGAACAACAAGTTAATCGCTGCTAATATTAAAAATTCTTGATCACAATCATCAGTTCGTTGTCTACATGTAAAGATTGTATTTTCGTCCGTACTTCAGCAAATTGACTGCAAAATTTGATAATTTCCTGAAAAATAGCCAAGAAAAAAATTCAATCAAAATCAAAAAAATCGTCTAATCAGCTAAGCTCATTTGTGCATGTTTTCTCATTTTATTTCAAACTTGATTTTTTGTGTTCACTTGAGAGATGAACTACTTAGGAAGTCTGGCAGACCAAACACAGGTCGATTTTTAAGGACCTTCTTTAACTCGCAGTTATAATATTGCGCTCCACCTAAACCTGGTTCAAAAATACCGTCATTAGAAATGTACTTGAATTTATTTACATTATAATAAAGCTAATAAACATGACTCATACATTTTTAACCAAATATTTGAAGAAAAGATGGCGCGATCGTGTTATTGTAGCCGTTTGATTCTGCATACTCCTTCTGTTCTGTGCCATTATTATTAACTCTTTTATAGGCAAAATCATTGGTTTTTCCTTGACTGTCGTCTTCAGCAACTTCCTTTGTATTTGGTAAATTTGCCCCACTGGCGTTGCCTTTGTGGCCTTTGTCGCCTGTTATTTCCTGTTTTTCTCCAACTGCCAATGGGTTCTCTACATTTTCACTACTCACAGTCGTACTGTTGATGCAATCTAGCATTTCGTTGTCTTTAATCTGTTTTTCCTTCATATCCAGAACATCTGTGTTTTCATAAATCCAATCCAGTGCATTTTCAATACTAGCATAAACTTGCAGCAAGTTACAGCTTGCACTAGTCACTTGACAAGCTGCAGGTGTTAAGAGAGTTCTTCCGAGCCCTATAAGATAACCATCTGCCACTAAAGGAAGATGAATAAATACTTTGCTGAAATCAGCCGGGACGTTTTGTTGCCTGACACATATTTCCTCACTTTCTATAAAACTGGGCCCGAAAAATAGTTTACATTTTGTCTGGCTGCGTAGTTGAACGGAAGCAAATGCTGGAAACCCCTTGTTGCTGGTAATTTTGAAAGCAGTGGAATTTGCCAATAAACCGGCGCTTAGAGGAAACAGGTTTTTTGGGGGTAAATTTATAATCTGTACTGTTGGTGTAATGGAAGCATTTCTATCCAGCTTGAGTAGTCCAATATCATAAATGTACTGCCCAGTTGCCTTCACTTTGCCATAATCTTCATGAATGAAGATCTTGTTCGAGGAAGAAATTACTTGAACTTTTTCGTCAAAGACTTCTGCCACTTTCTTTGGATGAGTGGACAGTCCCAGGTATACTACGAAGTGAACACTTCTAGAAACAAAAATGGTCCTTGATGGAAATATATCGACATTTTGTAATTATTGATGTACATATCGTCCCCAACAAAATAGTTGTTTGTGTCTCTTTGGTTAAAGACCTTTTTGATCTAAACTGATGTCTGACTATTGAAAAGAAAATTCACAATACTTCTAAAGTAATAATTAATTTACAAAAATGTTTCTTGCAAAACAAAACAAAATAATTGATTGTTAAGGTTTTGGTTTTTCCTGGAATTTCCTAATCAGCTATTATGGAAATTATTTTATTTGACGAAAGTAACATTTCTACATTCATTGCACTAGATTTTATACGTTTAGCTGGTTGCAAAATATAATAAAAAGCGTCCATTTTTGCGTTGTCCAGTTCAGATAATTTTTTGGAAACACCCTTGGAACAGACTTTGTATAAAACTGCGTTTAACATTTTGGTAGAATTAAAAAATTACCAATAGTAAAACACTTACTGTTTAATGCCATTTGCCATTGTAACTACATAGCTAGGACTTATCAGAGCTCCCACTGTATACCACCCTTTGTTATTATTAAAAATTAAAGCTTGGAAAGGTAAAACATTGGCATTTGTTGGCCTATAATCACTCAGTTCCTAAAATTCGATCAATATTCAAAGTGTTAACATCAACGACAAAAAATGTTCTTACCTTTTGACAACTTATAGCCAATAAATTTAAAAAGCATAAAATGAAAATCATCTTTGAGTTAATACTCAATGATATGGTGAAATGTGACTGGTAGGTGGTTTAAACTTATTTGGAATTTTAAGTTGACTTAAAAATGTATTAGAAATCATAGTTTATGGCCTATTTTATTTCTATCCATTAGCTGGACCAAAATTTCATACGTAAAGTGGAGTCGTAAAAATATTAATGCTCAAAAATTAACCAGATATATTGCCTAGTAAAGTTTTAACTGCTTGGTAAAACTTTTTATTGCTTTCTCCCTGTAAACCAAAAAGTAACTATTAGAATTATCCTGCTTTTGGAGATGAATAGATAATATTCCATATCAATTTTATTCTTAGTGGTCTGGAAGTTTTTAACAATCAGTATTAAGTGATTTTTTGTTGTAGAGTAGATTTCAATTATATTGCAAATTCAATTCCAAATCTGAAAATTATTATGAATTTCGAAATACTTTTGTTTGTAGGCAAATTACTTTTTTCACAGAATTTATCAATACTTTCAGTTGTTGTTAATCGATATTCTAAATATATATTGCCTACCAGGATTTGATATTTCATACAGTTTTTAAGTAACAAATTGCTTGCATTTTAAGGCTGAATATTTAAGTTAAGAAGCCACGGACTCTTGGTTTCATGAGAGCCGTCAAGAGTTTCTGATATATGGAAGTACTTCCAGTTGATTTGTGCATCTCTTCTGCAGAAATCAGTTTTTTGTAAATTTGGAAGGAACAGGATTCAAGAGGCGCATGGAAATTTAATATGCATGTACCGGTTTTCTTTTGAGCGACATCTAAAGACAATGTATTGTTTGAAAAAACGGGGATAAAATTTTGTAAATATGACAACAAAAAATAAGTGCTCCTGACGAGTTTAACTCGACCGTCCGATCATTTATTTGCTTTTGCCTAGTTGTTCGTAAAGAACTGATTTTTTCCTATGCAAAAAAACAATCCTTGGTGATCTTTATCACTAGCTGTCCAAAATGTTTCTGCAAAAAGCTTCCACTTGAGGCCCCATAAAATATTGAGGCACCGGCTAGACTTTATTCGATAGCAACTTATTACCATTCTCTCCACAATAAAAGAGAAGACTAATTCAAGTTAGGTATAGATTTGCACAACTGATATCAAATTACACTACTACTGTTTATTCAGAAAAATAAGCAACTAGAAGAATCGATGAATATCCGAATCTCAGCAGAGTTTGTACTAATAAATCCTTGTTTCCTTTATTTTGCCTACCTCTTCCGGTGTTTCCTTCAGATGTTGTTCGAGTCAAATTTAATGCAGATATTGACGCTCGAGGTGGTAACATTATATTACCGTAATACCTGTCGAGTACCCTTTCACATGTCTTTCATTTATCAGAGCATAGCGTCGGAATCGGGTATGTTTTATAGGGGACTTAACGCAACTGTCTTCAGTGGACTTAAATATCGGTCTTTTCACTTGTTAGCGTATTTTTTGTTAATTTAGAGACATTTAAGTCATCTTTCGTATTGGAACGGGAGCTTTGCTTCAGTTGTCGAACTAAGAAGTTTCAAAAGCTCTAATGTGTACACCTTTTATTTATTAAAAATTACTTTTTCATAACAGATTGAGACGTTTTGACGAGTATTTAATCAGTACATTGGTCATCGTCTAACAAACACCTAGTTTTCACTACTTGTCTGTAGTACGCTGCTGAATCCTTCGCGGTTCTTGGCCTATCAGGATCGGTAAAGTTCACTTGGTACAAACCTAATTGAATACTAAAAATATTTTTTTATTATTTGCTGTATGAATTAACGCATTATGATTACTCACTTGTATCCATATTGCCATTCAAAGTCATCAGTAAGAGCCCAAGCCATGTAACCGGTCAAGTTGACATCGTCTTCATATATAGCATCTTGCAAGTTACTGAGGTAGAGCTAAAATGAGGTAGTAAGTGTAGTTATTCAGCACTAAGTCCGTTAGGGCTTTAGGGCTAAAAACCTTATTTTGAATTGGAGAATGAGATCGTTCTGCTTATGGCTCCAAGATAGACTGCATCGGAAATTGTGCTATTGGCTTAACTAAATCTTAAGCGAATGACAATATTTTTTTTTCTGTCTACATTTGTTATGAAGTTACTCGCCTTCGAACCAGGCGAATAAAAATATTTTATAATTCAAAATTAGACCGTATTTTATTCGTTCCTTTACAGCCTTGAATGTTTTGGTCGTGAGTTTACGGTCGAAATAAAGTTTGCTAATTCTACTTCTAAGCAAAATATCAGTTTTCTTTTAATATTGGGTACTAGGTTGATTCAAAAGGACAAATATTCTTTGATATACATATATGGATTTTTTCCGATTCATTTTGCAAAAACTGTTTGGTTCGACTGACTGTAAAAAAGCTCAGGTTGTAGCACAAGTAGCATATTTGTTAGATTTACTGATTTTTCATTGATTTATTTAGTATCTAAACACCAGCATTATTAACAAAACGTTACTGTTTATTCATTCAACACTATAATGAAGTTGATTTGGAAAAAGAATCGAGAACTTTTCGAGTTTATCTTGTTTCTAATGAAACTCTTGAATATTTTTAAAGCGATATGGAAATAATGTTCTACATAAATTTCGATGAGCAAAGTATGTCTAATAATTATTTAGAAGAGACTTAGGGAATGATGAAAAGGGCCTTTAAGGACTACTCGCCGGACCCATTCGGGTCCCCTCCCACAGTACCACAAAATATCCCCCCTAAGGGGGTATGTTCTGTGCACAGTACTACTACTACTAGAAGACACTTTGAAAGGGATATATTGAAGATACAAAAAATAAGTGGAATGGATGTCTGGCATGTTTGTTAAATTATTTTACTTCTATCAATCTTCGAGAAATTTGAAATGACACGCATTTAATTTCATGTACTCTCTACAATGAAAAACAAATACTAAAACTCCATGTCAAAACCTCACTGTAGAACTTTCCTGGACAAAAAGCTGAACAAGCAATGTTTTGTTAGATCAAAAGTCATAGCTATAATCTTCCTTGAACTTCTAGTGAGACTCACAACGTACAACAACCCAATTGTAAAAATTACCTTATGGTATCGGCCTCTGGTTTCCAAGTCATGAATCACTGTTCCATCGTCGTGGTATCCATTTTCAGTGACAATGATTTCTGGATGATCGTACGTGTCACTAATCCATTTTACAAGTTTTCTGGCTCCCCATGGAACAACCTAATCAAAAAAGCTTGCTTAGCCGACTTTTTCTTTTGTCAAAAAACCTGGATTTGTTCCCAACTGAAGTTTTGATACCATTGATTGGGCAAATTACCTTAAACCAACTAGTAATAGTTGGTTCCCAATCATCTGGTTGATATACTTCAACACCAAGATCTAATTCTCTTGACGGACTTTCGCGGACAATGCCTGGTTCTTCAATAGCCTGAAAATGTGGATTTTCTCACCTGAATTCTTTAAAACTAGTTTTGTTGCACTCACTCTGACTAATGAAGATGTGTATATGTTGACGCACATGAAGTCAGCTGTGCCAGCAATAATTTCCTTTTCTTCTTCTGTGAAGCTAGGCAAACGGGATGAGGCGAATCCCTCCAGCTCTGAACGATAAGCGATTCTTTCTTTCATGACTTCTGGGTAGTCTCCAAAGTTGATTGGATGCCCAAACCATCCATACTGCAAAAACCGAAAGAGCATTTTTAATTTTCTTCCAAAAATGTTTGTAGAAAACTCACAGTGAAAAGCATGTTCCTTTCTGCTGCTTCTATATCTTCAGCGCTTTCCGAAGCTGGGCCAAACCAGTTGCTGTCAATTACCATGGTTACTCTTCCTGTAAAATTAAAACGTTTTAAGCTCTCGTTGAAACACAGTCGTTCAACAAAATTACCTCCTTGTGATTCTTTGAACTCTCTCTCGTACAGTCTGTATGCTTTTCCATGAGCAATAATCAAGTTATGGGCGCAAATATAATCCTTCACTCCAGGACTTTCGATATTTGGAGCCAAAGCGCCAGTTCCGTATCTGAAGCAAAATACTCCAATTACTTTGTTTTTCCGAGAAAAACCATTATCAATCTTACCCATGCTCGCAAGTTTGCTTCGGTTCATTGAAAGTGATCCATTCGGTGACTTGATCTCCAAAGTTCTCAAACAGAAATCGAGCGTAATCCACAAACCATTCTTGGATATCTGAATTAGTGAAACCTCCCAAATCTTCGAGGTACGTTGGCAAGTCCCAATGATGCATGGTCACCAAGGGTTCGATGTTGTTTTCCCTTAAAGCCCCAATCAACTTTCTGTAATACTCAATGCCACTAGGATTGGGCGAGTCGACCAAACCAGTGGGTAGAACCCTGGACCATGCAATGGAGAACCTGTAGGTGCTTACTCCCATTCCAACCAATAGGTCTACATCCTCCTGCCATTTGTTGTAGGAATCGCAGGCAACATCTCCGGTTTGGTAGGAGTTCTTTTCAGGGTGCAGATGTGTGGATCTGTCCCATATATTTTCGCCTTTACCATCTGCATCCCATCCTCCTTCAATCTGGTAAGCTGCTGATGCCGTACCGAATTTGAAATTTCTGGGGAATCGCCTTGAACTTACTACGTCTTCGGATAAAGCACTGTAAAAAGCTCAAAGGGTGAAAATATGTACTGCTAAAGTAATAATTTTAAGTGCTCCTTACCTGGATGCCAACAAACTACACAGTAGTAATAATTTCATGTTGACAACGAAACCAATCAAGCCACACTAATTTGAAATGTAAAATTCCAGGACTTTATAAGTGTCTTTATCTACCAAATTGAAAGTAGTTCGTTTAATCAAAAATTACGCTACGAGAGTGGATTTCCTTGATACTTCATTTTAGTTCTTTGCAAACAAACAACTTTGTAAAACACAAACAATATAGTTCTTATATTTGTTTGCTCAAATTTAAATGCCGAATGATAAGATTGGTTTAATAAGTGTTTTTTTATTTGCACTTGTGTTGTAGTGTAGGGCGTAAGTTTACTGATACTATGGATGGTTGATTGAAAGAGTATATATATTATTTCAATCAACGCTGATACGTTTCACATTTCGGCGATTTTCAGTGTAGTTAAGCACAAGCTTTCTTGATTTTTGCCGAGTCGCCTGTTCAATTATCGTTCACTTGCGTGAGGCTGTCGCTCCATCGTTTCCTGGGGCACTCAACGTCTCTTCGTCCCAATGGAGACTTTGGAGTCGCGAGCGATTCTCACAAGTCCATCCTGCTTATGTGCTCATTCCATTCCTTTTGAAAAGGGTAGGACTCAGAGAGTCTCTCTGCCGAATACCGCTACCCGCTGGTATTGGTTCTGTGAGGTCTCCTTCTATTTGTGCTCGTATTTTATTGTTTGTATATATGTTATGTTCTCTATGGTTTTAATAAGATTGTGTGGGATTTGCCTGTTGTAAAGGAGATGCAGGACGTCTTTCAGCTGGACACGGTCAAATACTCTAGTTAGATCAACAAAACATATAAACGTTATAATATAACAATTTAATCGACTCTCGACTATTTGTCTTAATACGAACACGGTGTCTGTGCAAGATCTTCCCGATCTGAATCCCTGTTGTTCGTCCGCCAACGATGTAAGATTGTGGCAACTTTTGGAGTATTCAGATTTAAATGTAATTGAGGATCTCCGATTTGTGAAGTGCAACATTTATTACTTTGTCCCAGTTCAGTGCACACTAATTTTTAATGTTACTATTATGGGTCTTTGAGCACAAGTAATCTGAAAATATAAACCCATAAAAATCCAGTACACTCGGGAAAATTTATAAGACGGCTCAGAGCATGCTTACTAAGTTCATTAATAAGCCGATAAAGTGTAAATAAACAATATCTCTTTGCTTTGCCCGTGCGACTACTTTTACACAACAAGCAAAACTTAATAATATTAATTGAATTATAAAATTAAAATAATGGCCGCATCCGGACTGGAAAATTGGAAACCCTTAACTCCATGTTCAAACACTTTTAGTCCTTTGAGAGGTTGTCGTAATTTAATTTTATCGCATTTTATTCATTCCAAGTGTTTTATGAAAACACTTTGCATAAATATCAATTAAATTCCAGGTATTGTCTTGTTCTTCATCCAGTTTTTTTACAGTTTCTCGAATATTTGTGCTTCCACCAATAAACATTTTTTACTTAATTATAGAATTTTTCAATACATACATCGCTGTACTTTTCGCATGCGCTTCGAACAAACTGTTCTAATTTTTGGCAAGAAAGACGAAGAAAACGAACGTGATACTTTCACTGTTTTGACTGAAAATGGTCCTACACACGCACATTCGCAGACAACGTTAGGAATTTAGTAATTATCGGGAGAAAATTTATAGATAAAAAGAACAAATATCGAAAAGTGAGAAATTATTCGAAAGTGCCTGAGGAAGGACGAAGGATTTTTTTAAATTTTTTTGGAACATCTTTCGTCCTTCCTCAGGCACTTTCGAATAATTTCTCGCGTTTCGCTATTGTTCTTTCTATCTCTAAATTTTCTCCCGATAATAACTAAATTCCTAATGTTGTCTGCGTCAGTTATTTAAGACTCTTGAGTGATTTTAGCACGTATTTTTCATTTTTCTGGTGATGTAAGTACAGTCGACTTTACCTATAACGTAATACTTTACGTGCATACTTTACCTGTAAGAGCTGAATAAATAAACATGCGATGATGCAAAGACCATGATTAGACGTCATTAATAGAGGAGATATTTTACAATAATTGCACTTGATCAACAGTGTTTATTGTACTTGGCTGGGGCAAATATTTGAAGAAAATTTGCATCTTCCAATAAATTCAACACATTCCTGATCAGCTAATAAACAGCGTGTTATAACTATGTGCTTGTAGTCCTCGGCTGAGCCTTTGTGGACTCTGCGGAAAATGTGCCAAATTTGAAATATGGTGGACATTTTCTGTTGCTCACCACGTATTCTTTCCCGACGCACCTAAAATAAAGCGTTATATATGTATAACGTGTATTTAAACACTTTTATTTGTGCACCAGGCTAGCTTATATACTTGGTTCAATCTAGCTGTATTAATATCTAGTTTTATGATTCACATTCTTTCATACATCAAACAAAAAAACAAATATAATTTTGTTTGCAAATTGTATCGATATTTCATTGTGGAAAGCAACTTTTTATGTAAAATAATGTAAATTCTGCTCACAGAAAATGTCCTTGTCAGTTGAGATTACTTTTATGGGCCGATGATTCAGTCTTTAAGATAAGGAGAAAGATAAGTTGTTTACCAATTGAGATCATTTGGAAAAGTTCCGGTAACAATGCGTAAGTATTTTCAAGTTTTTAAATTTGGTGCCAAAACACTTGAACATGAAATAACTTGGGGTTCTTCGACATTTGAGCATCAAGTATTTAAAAAACTATTTGTATTACAGCAGAATAATGTCATAAATTATATACGGTCGAGGCCTGATAATACTTTTTTGGGTATTTTCTCTCAACATTTTCGGTAGTTTTAAAGACATACTTTACTACTTAAGCCGGGTCCCGATGTGTAACCGAACCCCGTAAAAACGTTTAGAGCACATTCAAACGGTTGATCAAAATCTGAGAAACATACAAAATTTCGGCAATTTAACTTAAAATCAATACCTTAAAACGGATATAAAGAATAATATCTCTTCTTCTAACTTCACTCACACTACGGTTTATATTATCTTTCGAAGTACTTGTATATTTTGTATACGTAATACGTACGTAGTCCGTATAAGTAATACAACATTTAAAAACTAACCCACAGGGGAAAATCTAAGTCTTCAAATAAATAAAATTCGTTAGAATAAGATTGTGAATTTACTGATACTGATTCGTCTTCTCAAGCTTTCTCGTTCTGAAGTTTCAAATTTATCACAACAAACAAAGTTCGGAAGTTTACCTTCATTTTAATAATGAAACAAACGATTCAAAATTTACCAGAACGATTTGCCGGAATATCAACATACATTTCAGATGCATACTTTTAAATTAAGCAATTTTTTCAACCGCTTTATGTCTTACAAATAAATTATAACTGTACCAAAGCATCGATAAAAGTTTCTAAATCATTTGACAATACATATTTTATATATTTCTAATGTTTTAAATCTTAATATAAAATACGATTTCATATATTAAAAGTCAACAAAAAGTATTTGTGCTATAGTAAGTTTTCGTGACTACGTGCTGACCAGGAATTGTCACCATTAAATACCTACATATTTTCCAATTTTAAAAATCGTAAAGTAAAAAAAAAGTTTGTCATAAAAATTAAATAAAGTTTAAATGGGTTTCAGAAACAGTAAGCAGTACATATTTTGTTTCATCATTTAAATGTGATAACATTTTTGCACTTGATAAGATTATACCTAACTACTACTAAATGAGAAGTCAACCGTTCAGTTTCTGTTTTCATCAGTAGGGAACTACATATTTATATTGCTTTAAGATCATCTTTTTATCATTGTGAGCATAAAATAATAATTACCATTATTCGAAACTTTCTCCGCGTTTTCGTGAAAAACTGCCATTAAAGTTAATATTGCTTATTCTAGACGAGTTCAAGCTAGACGCATAAACCAACTCTTTCCGATCATACTATAATTTTGCAATGCTTTCTCCTGCACCTATAGGCAAAATTTACATATAGAAAGGATTTTCTCGAAAATTACTTTCCGAAATCTGTCTGGATATTGCAGCACAAAAGCTGGCTTTTCTGATAACCCGTGGAGTTTATCGTTGATCAGTTTAATACTTTTTGAAACGAAATAATTCGATATTCAAATACACATATAAATCAAACGTGAAAGTGTATTTCACATATTGAAAAATGATTCACAATTATAATAAAATATGTAGTGTCCGTGAGTAATTACGACACACAATATACAGACAGCGACATATTCAAGAATGAACAGGAACACAACAAGAGTCAGAAAGAATTGGAAAAATATGTACCGAACGTAAATTAAAAGTTTTCTGTGTCAGAATAATTCGTACCTAGAATGAAATATTTTGCGAATGCTTTCAGTGTGGCATACACCAGAGAAAAGGATACAATTTTTGCACGATGATTATCTGAAAAAAATCTGAAAATTTCTACGATATGTGAAAAAAATTACTTTCAGAAATGCCCATGCTACAGCAACAGGCCAGTGACAAGCAATTATCGAATAGATTTTTTTCTTATTTTATGTTCACAATATAGGTTACACCATATATTAGTTAAGTTTTTTTTAACCTGTCAATGATCAAAGAAAGGTATCTATTTTAGATTGACTAAACAGCTCCTTATCCTCTAGAATTAAATGTAGAAAGTCTATTAGAAATTAGAAATTTTTAGAAAATTAGCCACTAAAATTCTTCAATTGCTGAAGCTGTTAATGAATTGTTAATTCAGTTACACCAACAACCATAGAGACAACAGCTTTAAGAGTCATTAGTTCCTTTCAATTTCTGAGTTTCGGCTATGGACTGCTTCTAGGACTTACAGTATTTAATCATATTTGTGACCATACTGTGCATAGATTGTTTTATAAAATATTGTGTTTCTTAAATCGCATTTCCGAAACTATTTTGTAAATTGGTTTTAGCGTTTTACATGCAGTAAAAAAATATCTCCCTCATATTGAAAACATATTTCAATCTTTTGTGGATGGAAGCTAGTTTATTACTTCTGCATGGGAATAACATGCAACGAATAAAAAAGTTTCTTAAAGGATATACGCACACACACATATAC